GGCACAAATTTATTAGCATTTGTTAAACTTTGGCTTTGCACATTCAGGACATATGAGACCCCCGAGATTCTGATAAAAAACTTTTGCATGGGAAACATTTAAAAAGAAATGAAGCTTGCTAGGCTTTTACTGTCTGTATCTGTATACAGACAAAATGTTCCCTACTCTAGTTTAGCATTTCTACTGTCACTATTGAAAATGGTATTATAGCTTAGGGTTATATTCAGATTTCCATTATAACCCTCAGTTTTCACATGCTCTTAACTTTCTGAAAAATTCTTCTTTTCAGCTGAAATTTTCCATGCTTGGTCTCAGCTCAGAGATGAATTTCTTTAGACAGTTGAGCAAAATCTGTTAACCTATTTTTTAGTTATACAAGGATAGAAAAAATACACTGTACATTTTCACAGTTTCTTATATTTTAGTGTAGATATAGATATATAAATATACAGAACTAGAAAACAATTGAATTTTACATGCAGACATTTTTCCAGGTGACTAGTCCTTACCCAGGACTAATAACCATGCTAGCATATAAAACAAATTAAGCATAAAAAAAGGAACAATAGAATTGTTGTGTTGTTTGTTTGGGTTTTTTTACACTAAGCAGTAAATCAAGGCCACTAAAAATAATACCACTCACAGAATTACGGAATGTTGTGTTTACAGATTTTTAATATTGGCAGGTGATGTAGAGTCTGCATTGCTGTTCCAATGCAGATCTCCATCAACTTATGCACCTTGAAATTGCCACTCTCAGCATATCAAATTAAGAGTTATTAATGTTTTCATCTTTTCTCTTACATAAGGCCCAAAGTTACAAATTTAAACATGCCAGAGTAAGACAATATCAATTACATTTACCACAGAAAGTTTAAGTGATGTGCATTGATCAGCAGGAGCCTGGCTACTCACTCCTTGATCAGGCAAGAAGTCCACTGACTGAAAAAGGAGTAAAGCAAACTCCATAGAGCTTGTTATTGACTATATGATTAAAAATATACCTTAATATGGAATGCATGTAATATGTCAGTCAAGCCTCAAATCCTTAATTTCTGCCATCAGAGCACAGAAATAAAAGGACAGTGTTAATACATATTTAGCTTTCCTGAATCTACTAGAACTGGCACTTTTCCAAAACTTCTAAATTATCATCTTGATTCAGGAAAGTGCTTAGAATGTGCTTACAGCTGTCTTTCTTGAAGACAACATATTAAGTCATTTGGACTTTCAGGATCTGCTTCAGTCCCACCACTTGAAATAATAGTTCAGCACATGCCTAAATGCTATTTGAGTAGGAATGAAGACTGATGGTTTTGCTCATAATCCACACCAATACCTATATTTAAGCCTGTGTTATTTGTCACTGCTGTATTCAAATCTGATTAAATGAAGTTATTATAATTTAAAACTGGGATAACCATGGTAAATTTGCCTTAATTTCTTTTATTATTTAATCTATTGTTAATCTAATGACACTGAGCAGGAGTTTTTGTCTGTTTATACGCTTTTTGTATGAGGTCTTTCACACAGAAGAATACAACATGTATTCTACTGTATTTCTATGTAGCTGTTTGGTGTAGTGACTTACTAATTTGAAGTGCATTTTGAAGTTCAATCAAATACTGAAAAGAACACTGATTGAGAAGCCTGCATAGATTTCAGAATTCTTTATGAGTCATAACACTGATTTTGAAAGCTTAGCTAGATAAGCTGGTGGTGTGCAACATCCTTTCCATACTCCTAATTACATGAATTAGCATTTAGAACAATCCCAAGTTCAAGTATTCAAAAATGCTCTTTTCAGAGCATCCACCAGGTTTACTGCAAGATAGGCACTTGAAGAAGGCTTTGGTTTTTATACTGGGTACTTCTGGAACATAGGCCTGTGCAATTCAAAGTGACATCTAAAGACTTAATCACAGAATTTCCAATAAATTTATTGAGAATTGCACAGAAATTGCACAGTAAAAAAAAAAATATACTAAGAAAATTGTTTTGAACAATCTATTTTTGAATTCTAAAAGTTTTCTGACTTAGGACCCAGTTCTAACAGATTTCTGCGGCCAAGATCCCATTACAAGTAACAAGATTTTTCTTGAAAGAAATCCAAGTGTGGACTAAGGTCTTAGCTCTCTATTAATATTGCATGTGTGTTTACCTTGGACTGAAAGAGTCTGTAAGTAAAAGTGAAGGATGCTTGTATTTCTTAGATAATATATTAATCACTTATTTCTTCCTTCCCTATCTTAACATCTTCCAGAAAAATCCTGCACCCTTTGCAAACCACATAAAGAAAACTTACTGAATATATAGGTAACTTAAATGTTAAACCTCAAGAAAACACTACAGTGGCACAGAACTAAGTATCTCTTCCTAAAGGATTTTCTAAATGTTTTTCACATACTGTGGCATTAGCATACACTACTATTCAGTAAGATTTTTAAGTCTGAATACCTTGCTTAAAGGCCATATTCTACCACTAATCTAAAAAAAGACCTACAAAAGTGTATTCAACTTCTATGTCAATGAATATTAGCTAAAATGCATCCTAATTTCAGGAATTACAAGCAGAATAATAGGACGGCTGCTAAGGATTACAACCAATGCCAGCTATACTCCTCCAGCCAAAGTGACAAGGGGGCATAAAAAGGTTATGTTCTGTAACACTCATCATTGAGGCAAAAAAAAAAGACGCTATCTCTTTCCCCATGGAATAAAAATATAGAAGCTCAGTTTAGATAACTGTCTACCTCAGAAAGAGTTATATTTTCAGTTACATATAATATTACATCTTTTGCAAGGACAGATCCAAATCATATATTTGCTGATTTCAAAAAGGATTCAATAAGACTTCAATGGAATTTGAATCAGGTCCATATACAGGTATAATAACAGATATTATTGTTAGATTGAAAACAATGTATTTAGTGTAATGAACACAGGTAACTGAAAATACTGGCAGTAGCTTTTGTCTGGGATTTTTTTTCTCCTTCATATTCAATTTTACTGTGTAAACCTTATACATACTGTCAGGTAAATAATATTTTGCGTCTTAACTGCCTCTACATGCCATGGGGGATTGCGTCTGAGTTTCCTAATAGAGTTTGGAAAGCTAATTTAAGCTAAATTAAAAACAACTCAGTACAGAAAAGGAATGTGTGGGCAGGGGGTGCTACATTCCGTAACTGAAACTGGGGAGAAAACTTCAACCGAGTAACCACAAATTATGCAGGGCTGTTCTATAAATTTGTTGGGTGAGGGGTTTTTTTTGTTTGTTTGTATGTTTTTAATTGGTTCTTTTTTAAACTTATGCTGCCAGTATGTGTATGGTGCTGTGAAGCCGCCTGAAGACAGCTCCGGGAGTATACCCTTCTTTAAAGTCCTTAGAAAGCTTAAGGTTCTGTGAGAATCTTCTGAGATGTTTTCAGTGTCTCTTTGTAAGTAAGAGTTGGTTTAGAGCAGTTACTTTAGCAGAACTGCCTCAAAAGTGCTTGTTTTATTCTTAGCATCTTGTTAGTGTGACACCTTACAGACACCTAAAAGTCAAGACACAGTTCTGGGAACGTCACATTTGTCTCAGATAAGGCTAATGCAACAGCAAGAGGATGACTTTATCCTAAACTTGGCTACTGTCAAAATCTTTTTGCAAAGACAAGCCTAAATGTGTCTCACTTGATTCTCTAGGATTCAGATCCCTAATAAATTCAGACAAATCACCATCACTTCGGAGGGTACAGTGCCAG